GCATTCAGTGGTTATTTTCCTAATTTATTGATTGTAGATTTGTTTCGTCCTGCTTTTTCGTTTTAGTTGGTTATGTCTGAGCAGGCAGGCTGTGCGTTCTTTGTTGTTTGCTCGTCTGTGGGCACAATACTTTTCACCTCCTTCTCCAACAGGCAGGGTCAGTCACTCAGGTATGGTACAGCAGGTTATGTCCAGCTGAAGGGGAGTTGCTGGGATGGGTTGTTTGTGGCATGTACCAGGGCTGACAGTGTGGACTGGGAATCAGTGCAGGGCAGGTTACAGTAGGCCGTGCCTGTGCTGCTTGAGAGTGTGATATTCAGCTCACGGTGCAGGTAGGCAGGAAGGAGGGGGTAGATTGTGATGTGTGGAGCTAAGATGGGTATGGGAAAGATAGGAGAGAGGAACAAGAGCCAAAAACATACACACAGACAAAAAGCAGTGATAAGGGAGCTTGCTATTGGAGTGGAGAGATGAGAGACTGAGAAATGAGGAAAAACAAAAATGAAAAAAAAGGGTAAAAGAAAAAAATGAATAAATCAAGAAACTGGAAATGAAGAAAGACAAAAAGCTAATAAGAGAGAGAAGAAAACAAAACAAAGAAACAAACAAACAAACAAAAAACCAAAAACAAACAAACAAAAAAACTAGAAAAAAGAAATGCCCCCAGGGATGTCCCTGTGCATCTGCGCAGAGTAAGGGGGTAGCTTCCAAGCCGTGTGGTACCGCCCAGCTAGAAGGGGCTCCCAAGCTGAGAAAAGAAAAAGAAAACAAACAAACAAATCAGAGCAAACAAACAAAAAAGCCCTGGGGGTGCCACCAGCATGGCAGCACGGGCTGGGAAGCAGTTTCACAGTCAAGCAGTGTTTCGTAGCCTTTCAGGAAGAAGCAAAGATAGTGCACGGAGCCAGGTATTTGAGAGAAAGGAGGAGGAGGTGGTGAGAGGTAAGGAAGAAATCTAAAGAATTGGAAAAAAGCAACACCAGCAGCCAACAAAAGGCACTCAGGGAGCTGGCCAGTGCAGGCGGGTGGAATCCAAGTGACACCGGGGTGAAGCTGCTGCTTCCTGGCGAAGAGACTGTGGCTGCAGGAAGCAGAGGAGGCTAAGTGTGGGTGAAGAAGGGTCGGGGGTGGGAAAGCCTATATCGCTGGTTACAGGTTGTTCTGTCTCCTGCTGGAAGCTCCGTGAAGCTGCTTTCTCATACCCCCTGTTCGCTGATCTCCGACAGGAGTCCAATATGGCAGATCCGTGCTGCAGTAGCTGATAGGGGACCTTTGCATGTATCTCTTCTTGCTCTCTGTTTTCAGTCAGTTTCTTATTTCATTCGTTGCTTGGCTGAGTTCTTTATCTCTTCATTTGATGCTTAAGGTTTCAGGATTGAAGTATGACTCTGCCGGACTTAGTTTTTCTGATCTTTGCTGCAGAGGGATGGCATGGTGCTTCTGACTATAGCACCACGTTGCCTGGAAATGCCCCAAATATTTTTAATGTGAGTTAGAGAACTTCTCCCCATGGAACTACAGCTCCGGACACCAAAACAAGTTACAGTATATCACATAGTTTTCACAAGGCTGCACAAGAACTAATAAAATGATCATCATTACCCTGAATATGCATTTGGTATTGTGGTTCAATTTTCATATATGTATAAGATCCTCTTTCAACTTTGTATTGCAACACTAAAGGAAGAAAGAAAATGCTTATAAATGAATATTTGAAAGCCTGATCCTCTCCAGAACTAAACCTTTTACCACTGAGTCGATTCTGACTAGTGACCCTGTAGGACAGAGTAGAACTGCCCCATAGGGTTTCCAAGGAGCGGCTGGTGGATTTGAATTGCCGACCTTCTGGTTAGCAGCTGAACTTTTAACTACCGTGTCATCAGTGCTCTGTCTCCAGAACTAAGAGCAAAACTAAATAGCAGTTCAACAACTGGTCAACCAGCTGGTGATGACTGTTTTTTTTTTCTTATCCTGTCTTTTAAGGTAAGATTTTTTAATGTAATGTTTGCTGGATATACAGGAACCCCCTCCGCTCTCTCAGGGTCCGTGAGTTGTCTGAAGTCACTGTCAGACCAAGGGGTTGTTTTCCACTGATAACATAATCAACACAAACAGGAGAACAGCTGGGATCAAAAGTGTAAGAGCTAGAGCTAAGAGGGGCATAAAGAACACATCCTAAAGCTATGACAAAATCAACAAGGACAAGAATCCAATAGCCCCCCTCATCAAAATTTTTTAAACAAACACAGGATAAAGATGCAAAAGACGTTAAAATCGCTTTTTAAAATATAAATATAGTCCTGGGTGAAACATAGACAACCATTAGCTCAAAATAATAGTCGGTCTTTGAACATAGTGCATCTGATTTTATAATATCCATATAGTCTCCCAATTCAGCTACACATTGTATTTTCCTCTAGAGTATAGATAAGCTTGATAGCTACTTTTTACAACAGCAGAATAGAGATACTGGAGGGTCATCGTCTAATCTGTATTTTCCAGAGTTGGGTAGATCTTTGCACTCTGATATGAAGGTACGCAGTTCAGTCTCTGGGAAGCCGTTTTCTTGGTAATGCTATACAGAAGAGTAAAAGAAAGCTGTCATTAGTAAGCACCTTGAAAACAGCTTTATTCCAAATTCAAAATGGGTCATCTGGCAAGGTTCAGAGCTCTTTCTCACGGGATAGCTGAGTCACTTTCAAGTATTTTCCGGGAGATGTAGCCTCTAAGAGGTTGGTCCCTAGGTAGTACAAGTGGTTCGTGCTCGATTACTAACCTAAAGGCTGACAGTTCGAACCCAACCCACCCAGTGGTGCTGCAGAAGAAAAATCTGGTGACCTGCTTCCATAAAGATTACAGTCAAGAAAACCCTACAAAGCAGTTCTACCCTGTAACACATGGGGTCACCATGAGTTTGACTCGATGGCAATGGTTTTTTATTTTATTTTTTTGGTAGCCTCTAAAGGCACTCTCAGGCTTTGGCTGAGGCAAAGTGAGCCTGGGATTTGCAATTACCCTCCTGGGTGCTCTTCTCCAAGTCTGGTTCAACCCAAAACAGGCGTGTGGAGTCTGAGGCTGGACTCTCCTTCGGGGGAGAATTGAACCAGCCCCATCCCAGGCGTGAGAACCTCTGTCACCACGCTGCCCTGCAGCTCCATGACTTCCAGGCCAGTCTGAAGCAAGTGTCTCAGACGGAACCTAGTTCAGGTCACAAAGAAGCCTAGCTGATCCAGATTAACAGTGTATGTGGGGCAGAGGTGGGGAGGGGGCGACCTCAGCACCACCTCGGCTCTTGGGCTGTCCAGGTGTCTGGTCAAAGACCTGAATGTCATAACATACCTTTCCAGCCTGCACACCCTTTTGGAGGCCCTCTTCTTTGCAGACAGGTTTGTTTAAGGGCCTCATACTTACATCAGTTTAGGGTCAAAGATCTCTAGGACATGCCCTGACCAGAAAGGATTAGAAATAGCTTAGCTTGCCCGTTTGGCAAGTGCCCTGAGCCCATGGAAAAAGGTTAACATCTAAAATACCATCATATGAGTCTGAGGTTTGTGTCATCAAAAGTTGTCAACTCATGTTACTCTTAGGGATCTTGGATGTCACTCTCAAATAACATATGGTCCTCAGCATGCAGAGCTGAAGAGAGTGAATTTTTAGAGCACTACAGGGAGGAATTTGGGCAGTTACAACTACATTCTTTCCCCGTCGCCTTGGTGACCCAAAGCACACACCTGCCAGGCAAATACCAAGGAGAGGAGGGGAACAGCCAGTCTTGAAATCTGGCTCAAGAATGAAGCCAAGCTCTGGCTCCATGAAAAACGTATTTGTAATTATTAACTCTAAACCATGGTCTTCTCTTCATCCCTGGAGCCAATCACATGATATCATGTTTCATATCCCCCTCATGCGCAGAAAGAAAAGTCCCCAAGTGTCTACCCAAGTATAACACCTAACAGTATAAGGTTATTAGAAACTTAAATATATAGAGATATTTATTCTGCCTTACCATATTGCAAGGGGCTCAAACTGACTTTTAAAAGATCTCATATTGAATGACAACATAAATAACAATTGCTTTTCAAATCAGATTTCTAAATGTAGAAAGAGTACTTGGCTAGTACTTGCCACACAAGCATATCAATCTCTTCACTGTTCTGGAGGCTGGGCCCCTTGGTGTTGTACCATGCAGGGCCTCACAAAGTTAATGGATTCCGTTACAACACACTCCAGATGAAGAGGCAAATGTTTCTTTATGAAAAGGGGCTTAAAAAAGTTCCCCCACACAATTTTGGGGAACTGAAACTTCATCTGCTTTACCCACCCAATAACTATTGACTCGTATAATTCTAATAAAAGGTTAAAAAGCTCAATTACTTAGAGACCAAACTTTCAACACTCTAGAAATTCTGTTTCTCCTTAATTTCTTGTTTCTCCATCTTCACCTCAAAGAAATGAACATTCCATCAATTTCCCCACTTTTAGATACTAAACTTTACTGCCACTATACAAGTTCTAGAAGAATGCTGCTACTTACAGCTCTTAATAAACCTACCTTAATTGTTTCATATGTGTCAGTAATTAGTGCAATGAAGAGACTTAAAATCATGTATATAAAGAGGCTGATGAATGTGTAGAGATAAATTCTGCTAAAGAGCCAGACCAAGTAACTTTTTTGCTGCATTTTTGCGAATGTGGCAAACATGTCATCTCCATTTATCAGAGAGAAAAGGCACTCGGAGACCATGTTCAGAGAACGGAACTGGAAAAAGAACAGAGAAAGTTCCTTTTAAACCATGTTCCTTCCCACTGGAGACTTTGTTCATGATACCATATTAAAAATAATGGGACCCAATGTTCCAAGTTACCGCTTTCCAGTGAAGAACTGAGGTAACCACAGGCATTTGCTTTGTCAGGCACTTGACATGTATACTGTTCTTCCTGGGACAAGCAGCTCCTTCTTGATGCTCCTCTTAACAGAAGCAGCCTGAACTGAAGGCAGAAAGGGCCAGCCTGCACCCTCAGTGCCTTTCTGAGTTCAGTTTTACTCCTTCCCTTTGACTTCAGAGAAAAAGATCTTTGAAATACTTCTGCAGAGATACCAACCACGCCCACCCACACTTCTCATTTTAAAGTCCATTTCTTTTAAGGCAATGGTATATGTGAGACTAGTGTTCTTGTTGTTAGCTGTCATCAAGTGGGCCCCCAACCCATGGCGACCCCATGCACAACAGAACAAAACGCTGCCTGGTCCTGCATCATCCATGACAGGTTACGGATCAGATCACTGTGATCCATTGGGTTTTCACTGGCTGATTTTTCAGAAGCAGATCACTAGGCCTTTCTTGCTAGTCCATCTTAGTCTGGAAGCTCCACGGAAACCTGTTTTGCATCATAACAACACACAAGGTTCTACTGATAATGGGTGGTGGCTGCACACGAGGTACACTGACTGGGAAATGAACCCACCTCTTTCACACGGAAGGCAAGAGTTCTACCACTGAACTACCAATGTCCCCTATTTGAGACTACAGGTTTCTCTCTGTTCTACTTTTTACAAAGTCACATTTTGAGAAGGCTTATCTCAGCAGCCTGCTCTAGTGTATAGAGTAGACCACCCATCTAGTTTGTCATATTATGGTGGCTTATGTGTTACTGTGATGCTGGAAGATATGCCACCAGTATTTCACATACCAGCAGGGTAACCCATGGTGGACAGATTTCAGTGGAACTTTCAGACAAAGATGGACTAGAAAGAAAGGTCTGGCAATCTACTTCTGAAAATTAGACAGTGAAAACCCTATGTATAATATACATTTGAACTGTGGTATTGGTAAAGAATATCAAATATACTGTGGACTTCCAAAAGAATGAAAAGATCAGTCTTGGAAGAAATAGAACCAGAACGCTCCTTAGAAGCAAGGATGGCGAGACTTACTTTGGACACATAATTAGGAAAGACCAACTGCGAAAAAAGGACATCATGTTTGGTAGCGAGAGGGTCAGTGAAAACAAGGGAAATCCTCAACAAGATGGACTGACACAATAGCCGCAACAATGGACTTAACCATACCAGTGATCACGACGATGGCACAGAACCCGGCAAAGTTTCATTCTGTTCTGCGTAAGATCGCCATGAGTCAGAGCCAACTCGATCACAACTAACAATAACAACAGTATATACTGATGAATCAGATTGACTAAACATGACCTTACTGGTGGTAAAAAGCATTTAATTATCTGACATATTCCAAAAAAGGATTTGAGGCAGTTTAGTGAATCAATTGTTCTCTCAATTTGATCACATCTTACCAGTTTATAAATATGGCAATAGACAGACTGCCCTCAACATTTTAAAGCTAAATCACAAAGGAAAAGGAGTTCATTTTAAAAGGATCGCTGGATGTAAAAATTTGCAGATAGTGGTGCTGTTTGTACAACACGATGAACGTAATTAATCCCACTGAATTGGACATGTAAAAAATGTTAAATGGCAAATGTTTCGTGTACATACACTTATCACAATAAAAAAATTCAAAAGAAAAAAAACAAACAGGATAACAAGCTACTGGTACTATTCTAAGACCTTATAGTAACAGGAAAAGAAGTTGTTTATCAGTACCTTATCGTGGTAAGGGCCCAGCACAATCCATCCACAGAAGCAATAGCCTAAATAAATCATAGCTGCACAGCAGCAGAACCTCATGACATTGGGCAGTGCTGCCTGAAGGGTCAGAATAAGGAGCTGGGAAAGTAAGAGAGGTCATTAGAATCCCTTTGGCCTTCAGCGAAGCAGTGCAGTAACTGAAAGAGAAATACCAACAGCGTGGAGATCCGTGGAATTCCTTACATTGTACTTCTGAAAAAACCCCAGGTATCGGATGACTCCAAGCCACACAAGCATGGTAGAAGTCCCAAGAAGTATGCTACAGACATCATAACTTGTTAGACTCTAAGATAGAGTGGGAAAAAATATATCAGATTATATAACAGAAATTCATTCAGGCAAGAAATATTTATTGAGTAGCTATGGGCCAGGCATTTTTCTAGGTGCTAAGGATAAAACAAGGAGCCCTGGTGGCACAGTAGTTAAAGCACTTGGCTGCTAACTGAAAGGCTGGTTTGAACACACCAGCCACTCTGTGGGAGAAAGATGTGGCAGTCTGCTTCTGTAAAGATTTATAGCCTTGGAAACCCTATGGGATAGTTCAGCTCTGTCCTATAGGGTCACTATGAGTTGGAATCCACTCGACAGCAGTGAGTTTGGTTTTGGTTTTGGTTTTTGAAGGCTAAAACAGTGACCAAATAGAAAACATTCCCTGCACTCATGAGGCTTACATTCTACTGAGGGGAGAGAGACAATAGAAAAAAATGATAAAACTTCTGGTATGTGAGTTGGTGGTAAGACGGAGAAGAAAAGTCAGGGGAGGCAATAGGAAATAGGTATGGGGCTGCAATTTTAAGTAGGGTGACCAGGGAAGGGATCACTGAAAAGTGAGGAAGCAAGTCAAGCAAAAAACTAGGAGAAGAGTTCTCCAGGCACAGGGACCAGCAAGTGCAAAGGCCCTGAGGCAGGAGTGTTCCTGGCAAGATAGTTGACTCTGGCTGGACAGCAGTGAGCAATAGCAAGAGTATGAGGTCACAGAGGAAAGGGAGGCCGTTAATATAGGGCCTCCTGGGTACTTTACCAACTCTGTCTTTTACTCTGAATATGCTGGGGAGATTTGATTGCTTTGAGCAGAGGAATGATATATGATCTAACTTTGGCTGCTGTGGTTGAGAGCAAATTGTTGAGTATTGAGGGTGATGGTAGGAAGCCAAATGAGGAGGTTATTGAGATAATACAGGTGAGAGCTGATGGTGGTTTGGAATGAACCTGATAATGGAGGAGGTGATGAGGTGATTTTTGAAGGCAGACTAACAATATTTCCTCTTGGATTAGACATGCAGAAAGGGAGAATAGTAGAAAGAGAGAAGTCCAAGATGAATTTTAAGAAACTGAAGAGAGTTGTCATTAATTGAAATTACAGAGGCTCTGAGAAAAGCAAGGAATGTGGTGGTGGAGATTCTAGGAGTTTTAGATATGTTACATTTGAGAGGTCAAGTAGACATCCAGGTGGAAATGTGGAAACGACAGTTGTGTATTTGAGGGAAGAATTTCAAGCTAGAGATACAGATTTGGAAATCATTGGCATATAGACACTATTTAGAATCATGGGACAGGATGAAATCATCAAGACAGTGAGTGTAGATAGAAAAGAGATGTCCAAGCACTGCGCCTGGGAATACTGTCACCTTAATAGGTTGGGGAGATGAAGAACCAGCAAAGGAAACTCAGAAGAATGGCCCGCGATCTAGGCGGATAAACAGGTTAGAGTGGCAGCCAAGTGAAAAAAAGTGCTTAAACAAAGAGGGCGTGAGCAACAATGTTAAAAACTGCTGATAGGTCAAGACGAGGATAAGTAATTGATTATTGGCTTTAGTAGCATGGGGCTCATTGGGGATCTTGACAAAAACACTTTCCATAGAGTGGCATGACAGCCTGATTGCAGCAGATATAAGAGAGAATGGGAGGCGCAGAATCAGAAACAAGATTAACTACTTGTTATAGATTGAATTGTGTCCCCCAAAATATGTGTTGTAAATCCTAACTTCTATGCCTGTGGTTATAATCCCATTTGGGAATGGGCTGTCTTTGTTATGTTAATGAGACAGGATTAGTGTAGGGTGTGTCTTAAATCAATCTCTTTTGAGATAGAAAAGAGATCAAACAAGCAAGTGAGAGAAGCAGAGAAACGGGAAGAGAGATGCCAAGCCACATGAAGATTGCCCAGGAGCAGAAGATCAGAAGAGACAAGAATCTTCTGCCCGAGGCCACACAGAGAAAGTGCCTTCCCCTAGAGCTGGAGCTCTGAATTTGGACTTCTAACTCCTAAACTGTGAAAAAATAAATTTCTGTTTGTTAAAGCTATCCACTTGTGGTATCTCTGTTACAGCAGCACTAGATAACTAAGACACTACTCTTCTGAGGTCTTTTGCTATAGAAAGAGTAGTTGGTTGGCGGGAGGGATAGGGTGGAGATTTTATCTTTTTAAAAGGGAGAAAAAACATGTTAATGGGAATGACCTGGTAGAGAGAGGGAAATTGATGATGCATGAGAGAAGAACACTAGCTAGAGCTATGATTTTGAGTAAGCAAGTTGGCATTGCATCTGGTAGGCAAGTGGAGAAGCTGGCCTCAGATAGTAGCCTAAATAATATATCCACAGTAACAGGAGAGAAGGCAGACTATATGGGTACCGATGCTGGTGGGTAAATAAGTGAGGTGGGAGTTGGTGGAACTTCTGTTTCTTTTTCCCATTGTTCCTGTGAAATAGGAAGTAAGGTCATCGCTGACCGTGAGGATGAGACAGGGTGTTAGAGGTTTGAGAAGAGAAGAAAACACATGAAATGGTCATCTATGAAATAAGGGGAGTGAAGAGGTAACAAAAATGTAGAAAAATTGTTGGATGCCATTAAGGGCTCATTGAAGTTAATGACAGTTGAGGTAGATCAAAGTAAAAATTTGCTGCATATATTACCCTTACTCCTTTTTTTTTCCCCTGAAGCTAAAAATCTCTTACGATGATATATACTATCACCACATGTGGTGGAAGCTGTTCCATGTTGACTAAACCTATCCTCTCCTTCCTGGGCACATGCCTGGGCTGCATTCCTAGTTCCCCTTGCAGTTAGATGTGACTAAGTTCTCTCAGTGGGATGTGAACAGAAGTGATGTCTGCCACTCTTGAGTCAAGAGACTGTAAGACTTGGAGAGCATCCACCATACCATGTTTTCCCTTCCCACAGACTGCACCCTGTTTAGGAGGTGACCTGGCTTCAATCGTGCAGTCTGGGAGGGTCCTTAAAGGGGACTGGTAGAGGGAAAAGGTGGGAGGAACTTGGGTACATGAAGAACTGTGTGGAGATGAGCCACCCACCAACTTGAAAAATCCAACCCCTGAAAATTGATTGCCTCCAGCTATTCTTCCTTATGACGATTACATAAGAGACAAATAAGCTCCTTATCTTATCTGAGCCATTGCACTGTGAGGCTTCTGTCTAGGAATCTGAATTATAACAGGCTCCCCAGGTGATTCATGCTCATGCTCAGTGGCAGTCAAAGCTAAGAACATGAGCAAAAACACGAGCAAGATTAGTTTTGTTTATTTGGTCTTTTGTTTTTTTGGGGGGGAGGGAAGAGTTGATTTCTAGGCTAGGTTAAGTCTTAACTTACAATGGATAACCTCATAGCAGCACATCAATGGAAAAAGTGAGAAAATGAGAACTTTCTCACACTGAATGGACAAAGGAAACAATTGCAAGCACGATAGAATGTTGACCTCAGTTTCCTCTCCACCTCTACTCTTTTTTGGTTGAGAGTCTATCCTTTCTTGTAAGAATAAATAAACTTCTCACCTTAGGTATTTTGGTATCTTTGAGGTGTATAAGAATTAATAGGCTCTACCCCCAGAGTTCTGGTTCAGTATGTCTAGCATGGGCCATTTTTACCAGGCACCCAAATGATTCCGATGCAGTGGTTTATGGATCATACTTTGAAAAACTCTGCCAAAGAGACTTACAGGCCAGATTTAAGAAAATTACTGTTACTGTTTTTCAAGGTTACTGAATATAAGGTTTAGAAGAAATCATTTACTCTGAAAATTCTCAGATTCTGGAAAAATAAATTATTATTAATCCAAATCTGATGCTAAAGATGGCATGAAAAGGAGAAAATTTTACCTTAGCTTGGATTTCCATTTTCAGAATTGATCCAATGATTGTCAATATATCACTAATAATAATCATAATGTACCATCCATTGACAAATTCCATTTGATCAGAAACAGAAACTTCCTGCTTATAATGGAGGAGGAAAAAATTGACAAATTCCTTTAGGGAAAAGAGAGGAGAGCCACAGTGAATTTCTCTGTCAGTCAAAATGACAGTAGCATTTAGAAGGCAACAACCCCTACCTGCTGAAGCTGAAGTCCTCTAATCACAGACCGAACACAGAGAATTAGTGAAGTCAAGCAGGTCAGGATGACAAAGGCATCAAAGATCATCATGTAATGAGTGTTCTTCTGAACTGGAAGGAAAGAAGATTACCTATTTATGTAGCAGGACATTAACATGGTGGTGTCTCCTTTTTCTTTTTTTTTTTAGCGTATAGTTGTTAGGTACCATTGAGTTGGTTCCGACTCATAGCAACCCAAAGTACAACAGAACAAAACACTGCCCAGTCCTGCACTTTCCTCACAATCATTGCTATGTTTGAGCCCATTGTTGCAGCCACTATGTCAATGCATCTCTTTGAGGGTCTTCCTCTTTTTCACTGACCCTGTACTTTACCAAGCATGATGTCCTTCTCCAGGGACTGGTCCCTCCTGATAACATGTCCAAAGTATGTGAGACAAAGTCCTGCCATCCTCCCTTCTAAGGAGCATTCTGGCTGTACTTCTTCCAAGACAAACAGATTTGTTCATTCTTCTGGCAGTCCCTGGTATATTCAATATTCTTCACCAACACCATGAATTAAATGCATCAATTCTTCTCTGGTCTTCCCTATTCACTGTCCAGTTTTCACATGCATATAAGGCAATTGAAAATACTATGGCTTGTGTCAGGTGTACCTTGGTCCTCAAAGTGACATCTTTGCTTTTTAACACTTTAAAGAGGTCTTTTGCAGCAGGTTTGCCCAAGGCAATGCATCATTTTATTTCTTGACTGTTGCTTCCATGGGCAGTGATTTTGTGGATTCAAGTAAAATGAAATCCTGGACAACTTCCATCTTTTCTCTGTTTATCAGGATGTTGCTTATCAGTCCAGTTGTGATGATTTTTGTTTTCTTTATGTTGGGGTATAATCCATGCTGAAGGCTGTGGTCTTTGATCTCCATCAGTAAGTGTTTCAAGTCCTTTTCACTTTCAGCAAGCAAGGTTGTGTCACGTGCATAACACAAGTTGTTAATGAGTCTTCCTCCAATCCTGATGCTCTGTTCTTCTTCATAGAGCACAGCTTCTCAGATTATTTGCTCAGCATACAGATTGAATAAGTATGGTGAAAGGATATAATGCTGACACACACCTTTCCTGATTTTAAACCACTCAGTATCCCCTTGTTCTGTTCAAACGACTGCCTCTTGGTCTACGTACAGGTTCCTCATGAGCAGAATTAAGTGTTCTGGAATTCCCATTTTTTGCAATGTTGTCCATAATTTGTTATGATCCGCACAGTCGAATGCCTTTGCATAGTTGATAAAACACAGGTAAACATCTTTCTGGTATTCTCTGCTTTCAGCCAAGATCCATTTGAAATCAGCAATGACATCCCTCATTCTACATCTTCTTCTGATTCTGGCTTGAATTTCTAGCAGTTATTTATTGATGTGCTGCTGCAACCATTTTTGAATGACCTTCAGCAAAATTTTACTTGCGTGTGATATTAATGATATTGTTCAATACTATCCACATTCTGTTGGATCGCTTTTCTTCAGAATGAGTACAAATATGGATCCCTTCTAGTCAGTTGGCCAGGTAACTGCCTTCCAAATTTCGTGGCATAGACGAATGAGTGCTTCCAGCATTGCATCTGTTTGTTGAAACATCTCAGCTGATATTCCATCAATTCCTGAAGTCTTGTTTTCTGCCAGTGCCTTCAGTACAGCTTGGACTTCTTCCTTCAGTACTATCGGTTCTTGATCATATTCTACCTCTTGAATTGGTTGAACATCAACCAAATCTTTTTGGTACACTGACTATGTATTTCTTCTATCTTCTTTTGATGCTTCCTGCATTGTTCAATATTTTGCCCACAGAATCCTTCAAAATTTCAACTTGAGGCTTGAATTTTTTCTTCAGTTCCTTCAGCTTGAGAAATGCTCAATGTGTGCTTCCTTTTTGGTTTTCTAACTCCAGATCTTTGCACATTTCATTATAGTACTTTACTTTGTCTTTTTGAGCTGCCCTTTGAAATCTTCTGTTCAGCTCTTTTATTTCATCAATTCTTCCATTTGCTTTAGCTACTCTACATTCAAGAGCAAGTTTCAGAGTCTCTTCTGGCATCCATTTTGGTCTTTTCTTTCTTTCCTGTCTTTTTAATGACTTCTTGCTTTCTTCATAAGTGATGTCCTTGATGTCATCCCACAACTTGTCTGGTCTTCAGTCATTAGTGTTCGATGCGTCAAATCTATTCTTAAGATAGTGTCTAAATTTAGGTGGGATATACTCAAGGTCATACTTTGGCTCTCACAGACTTATTTTAATTTTCTTCAGCTTCATCTTGAGCTTGCATATGAGCAATTGATGGTCTGTCCGCAGTTGGCCCCTGGCCTTGTTTTGACAGTAATATTGAGCTTCTCCATCGTCTCTTTCCACAGATATAGTTGATTTGATTCCTGTGTATTCCATCTAGTGAGGTCCATGTGTATAGGTGCCATCTGTGTTGTTGAAAAAAGGCATTTGCAACGAAGAGGTCATTGGTCTTGCAAAATTCTATCATACAATCTCTGGCGTCATTTCTATCACCAAGGCTGAAGTTTCCAACTACCCATCCTTCTTCTTTGTTTCCAACTTTAGCATTCCAATCACCAGTAATTATCAATGCATCTTTATTGCATGTTTGATCAATTTCAGACTGCAGAAGTTAGTAAAAATCTTCAATTTCTTCATCTTTGGAATTAGAGGTTGGTGTGTAAATTTGAGCAATAGTCATATTAACTGGTCTTGCTTGTAGATGTATAGATATTATCCTATCACTGACAGCGTGGTACTTCAGGATAGATCTCAAAATGTTCTTTTTGACAATGAATGCGACATCATTCCTCTTTAATTTCTCATTTCTGGCATAGAAGACCATATGATTGTCTGATTCAAAATGGCCAGTACCAGTCCATTTCAGCTCAGTAATGCCTGGATGTCAATTTTTATTGCATTTCTTTTCATTTTTGACAACTTCTAATTTTCCTAGATTCATACTTCATACATTTCACTTTCGGATTAATGGATGTTTACATCCGTTTTTTTTTTTTTCTCATTTTGAGTCGTGCCACATCAGCAAATGAAGGTCTTGAAGGCTTGACTCCATCCATGTCATGAAGGTCAACTCTACTTTGAGGAGGCAGCTATTCCTCAGTCATATTTTGAGTGTCTTTCAACTTGAGGGGCTCCTCTTCCAGCACTATATCAGGCAATGTTTCACTATTATTCATAAGGTTTTCACTGGCCAATTTTTTTAGAAGTAGATCGCCAGGTCCTTCTTTCTAGTCTGTCTTAGTTTGGAAGCACCACTGAAACCTGTCTACCGTGGGTGACCCTGTAGGTATTTGAAATACTGGTAGCATAGCTTTTAGCATCACAGCAACATGCACGACAAACTGACACCACCAACAGCACGACAACCTGACAGATGAGTGGTGGACACATATCCTAAGGGTGGTTATTTAATACACATTCTGAAAACTAGTCAAGTTTATCACTTACTTGATCCAGATACGTGCCAGTCTTTGCATTCTCTGATGGCAATGTCATTATCTAAACTTATTTTAATTCTTCCACTATGGGCCTTGTTGTCAAATATTATCTGCAAAGAACAGAAAATAGGTATATATTTATATAAATACCTATTGTTTTTGTAGCCCAGATTCCTTTATAAATTAACTAAAAAACAACGCTTTCAAGGGGACAGGAGACCCAAATTCTCATCCCTGACCTGTTGCTAATTCTGTTCAAGCTTGGGAAGTTTCTTTTATTTCTCTGTGAAATAAGAGAGTTGAACTAAATCTTCTACAGAGTCCTTTTTATCTCTTAAACCTCATGTTTCTTAGGATAGTATTCAAGCCCTGGACAACCTATAAAACAAAGAGTACCTTCCCCTTCTTACCATCCTAACTACCTCTAGATGCCCTTCTGACACGAGCAAGAGCTGGTACATCTGTACTTTTCCCTAATTCCTAGCAAGGCCTCAGTTGGGGCTGGATGTTTAGTGCTACTGCAAGTCTTACTAATACAGAGGTGCATTATTTCAGTCTTGAGACATTTCAGGTGGAGCTTTTTCTACTTTCATTCTGGGCTTAGAGTTCTTAGTCACTCTACCACCACATGAATTACAAAAGACATTGGTAGCAGGGAGTCAAAAGCCATGTCTTGCTTCAAGGATAAACTTTGAGGACGTCGGGAAGAGTATTCTGCTTCTATGCCAGGTGTCAAGCAGGACAAAGCTATTCCAGAACACCTTCGATAGTCCTTCTACTGTCCTCCCCTGCTAGTCCCCCTTGCTTTACCCCATGCAGGGACAGAGATGGTGAGGCAAGAAAAGTCCATTTTCTTTCTGCCTCCTCGCTCAGGTTCTGAAGCAAAGCATACTCAGCATCCTATAAAGCCTGATTACTGAACAGTGAGGTATTCGAATCTTTAATATTAATATGTCTTTTAAGGAACTGTTCTTAACATCAAATACATGCCCAGCTCCATATTATTTACTCCAAAATATAGTTTTGGCTTATCAAACCAGTAAATTCTGTCAAAAGACCATTAGCTCAAAGATATTATAAATTTGCAAATGTCTGATATAGTTAAGCACCAATTTGTTACAATACAAACTTTTACACTAAGTTACTTAAGATGGTCACAAAGAACAAGCTGAAAGAAAGGGGAATTAAACTGAAATGCCAGAAAAAACACAAGCCTCGTCGTCTGTAAAATTCTGAGCCTTCAAATCACTATTAGTGTAATTCATTTGTTCAAAAAATGTTTGAGTACCCAGTATATAGTAGGTACTGTTCTAGGTATTGGGGAAATGACAGCGACAAATCTGCAAAAATCCTCATCCCCACGGAGCATAAAGTGATCGTAGGCAAAAAGAAAGACCCTTTTATGATCATGAATTTTCTACTCGTGCTCTACCTGTCTGAGCTCAAATCCAAATCTTCCACTATGAATTAGGAATTACTCCCCCTTCCTCCCCCCATCTACCTCACAATGTACTGGAAAGATCAAATCAAACGTGATGGAGGAACACTTTGTGAACTGAAGTATTTGCAATTATGACTGTAATATCCACATGGGAGTATCTAATGAGACAGATGAAAAATCGAGGCTTGAACCAATTTGCCTAAAGTTTCATAGCCACTAACTGGTGAACTGACTCAAATCTAGATTCGTCTGATTACAAAGCCCACATATTTTATATCAGGTTTATTCTGCTCCCATTGATGTTTACTTATGACAATAAAGTTGCACTAATGGCCTTCATTATTAAATCACCTTGTAGGATAGAAGCTCTACAATTCTATGAGATCCACTGCTAAATCTATAGTGCAGAGGAATAGCTTGAGATGAGTCTAAAATAATGTCGAAAACAAAACAAATTGCATGTGGCTAGCAGGTCAGGTTGCTTTTACCACTGTATTGAGTCATATGAAAGGGTCTAGATTTCACAAGTGTTTCATTTATTCATTCAACAAATATCTGAGTCACCTACTACGGACTACGGAAAGAACAAACAAATCTGTCTTGGAAGAAGTACAGCCAGAATGTGAGACTCACATACGTCTCACATACTTCGGACATGTTATCAAGAGGGACCAGCCCCTGGAGAAGGACATTATGCTTGGTAAAGTACAGGGTCAGTGAAAAAGAGAAAGACCCTCAATGAGATGGATTGACACAACAGCTGCAACAACGGGCTCAAGCGTAACAATGATTGTTAGGATGGCGCAGGACTGGGCAGTGTTTCGTTCCACTGCACACAGGGTCACTATGAGTCAGAACCGACTTGGCGACACCTAACAACAACATTACGTTCTTTGAGGGATGAAAAGATTAATAAAGTGGATTCTGCATTTAAGGAGCTTCCAATCTAGCAGAGTTGATAAATACCTAGAAAACTCTAAAATACAGGAGAAAGTGGTAAGCCTACAAGAAAAGAAAGAAAGAAACAGAAAAGAAAAAAGAACTGGGAGTTCAGAATACAGAAAGCATTTCTAACTAAAGAATCACAAAAGGATCCATGAAGGAGGTAGCAGTTGAGCTAAGCTTTGAAGGATTATAAAAATTCCAAAAAGTAACATTTTTAAAAATCAAGAGAGACAGAGAAAATAAGAAAAGATAAGAGACTATAGATGATAATACAATTTTTAAAAATCAAGTAATACTGATAATTCATAACCTGCTGGTAAATATTAGGATCAAAATTTGTAAGTGAATTTAAAATAATTTTATTGTTTCACTGCTTTTTCCTATTAAATGTTATGCATAATTATTGGACTATATTATATTCTGAAATTTTTTTAACTTCAATCTCTGAAAACTTGATTTTTCACAGCCAATCAGTTAAGTCTCATGGGTGTAGCTTTTTATACAAAGTACTGTTGAAGAGGTAATAGAAATCTGACAAATATGAAGGCAAGTTGCATCAAATGCTGTCCTGCATATGACCAAACAGCATTGGGTTACTATGATCTTTTTGAGAGGATGAATTTGCATTAGCGCCATCTTGTCCTCTCTAGAGAGCATTAATAGCTCTATTTTCAACTAGAATATAAAGAACATAGAAGTGATAGGTTGATCTGGAGGGGGAGAAACAAGGAAGGCACTGTGAGCAATGCCCAAGGCTCAGTAACAAGAATCTTTGGCAATAACCTTCAGTAGACAGACACAGATTACAAAGAACCAAGCATACACAACCTACAACCCTCTGTTCCTTTTATATTTCAACACCTACTCTGTGCCAGGCACTGTTGTTGGTACTGGAGACACAGCAGTGAACAAGACAAGGTCCCTGCCCTCTTAGAACTTAAATTGAGGTACAGAAGATAGATAACAATAAACGAGGTGTTATAACAAAATAGAATTAGCTGTATCAATGTTTCCCCTAAGCACATTCAAGTGGAAACATCCTATATAATTGATCATATATTAATACAAGCATCTGAAACATATAATTAGATAAAACAATTTTTACCCAGACTGGAACCAAACTCAGTTTAGCCTACACTTACAGTCAGAGTAAAGTCGTAACAGTCGGGGAGCTCATGGTGACGAACTGTCTGCAGATTAATGGCCTTCAGTTTAAATTGAAGCTCCACTGTTAGGAGTCTAGAAAACAGAGGAGACTTTAGTACAGCGGAAAGTCACACACAAACAAGTTATACTCCCACCGGCTTCCCTTACCTGTGAAAGTCCAGTGTTAAGTTGAGTTTATTTTCCTCTAGTGTTCCAATGTGAAAAGGCTCATCTGGCTCTACAAAGAAACATTCTGACATAGAAAGGGGGAAAACAAACGAACATGATATGGTACCTGAAATAAATAAATAAAACTGCATTTTGAAAAGATAATACACTTTAAGTCAAGATATTCAAATCCTAGTATTTTTCTGAAATAAGATTTTTAAAGCTAGACATCGATACCATTTGGCTGCAGAGACTCATTTGTTTTTCAGCCATAAGTGACTACAACATTTATGAAGTAGATAAAAAAAACCCAAAAAACCAAACCTGTTGCCATCAAGTCGATTCCGACTCATAGGACCCTAGAGGACAAAGTAGAACTGCCCAACAGGGTTTCCAAGGAGCGCCTGGTGGATTAGAACTGCCGACCTTTCGGTTAGCAGCCGTAGCTCTTAACCACTATGCCACCAGGGTATGAAGTGGATGGGGGTAGAAAAAGATCATTAGAATTCCATAGATTACATCTTCCTTCCTGTCTTTTTAAGCCTACATAAACTTTCAATCTCCCCTTCCTTCCTTTGTATCCTAAGCATAGTATTTGAAACACTTGCAGTGCCCAAGACAAGACGTGCTAAGTAGTTTAAAGAATCTAATATTTTAAAATACTATGTGTTGACAATTTTTCCTCTATTAGCACTTCAAAAAAAAAAAAAAGAAGCCAGTACCTTAGAAGACTTTCACTTTAGTCTTTTACTAGTCCTCTTAAAAAAAAGTACCAGTGCCTACTGTTAAAAGTATCCTAATACGTATTTTTGAACTCAATGTCCTAAGCTAAAGTTTAGGGTAAAAATTACAAATTAGAACTTTGTTAATAAGGAAAGAAAATCACTTTTGAAAAAGCTATGCTACTCTAAGTTCTAGTTGTCCTTCTTTGCCCAATCCGCCCCCAAAGATACTGAAGAGTTAAATGCTATTTGGTGGAGAGACTCTTATACACAGTAAGAATTTGCAAGCAAAAGTCTACTTAAGTGGCTTGTTCAGCATGAGAGGCAGTGCAATGCAGTGGCTAAGAGCATAGACTCTGGAGCCAGATAGCCTGGGCCAAATTCCAACGCTACCTCTTACTCAGCTTACTTAACACTCTGAGCCACACTTTAGTCTTCTATAAAATGGAGATAATAATAAAGCTTGCCTTGTTGGGTTTTTGTGAGGATTCATGATAAAAAGCTTAGAACAGTGCCTGACACATAACTCTCTCATAGTTCTTACTACACCCTGATAGCACAGACCAAATCAATGTTTTTAGAGATGAAATTACTAATTTTAAGTATAAATCAAGGAGCTAAAAAGCGAAGTTCTGGGTTACAGAAGAACATCACCAGTTTCAATTTCTGGATCAATGTCAAAGGTGTCATTTCCAGGACAGATGGTTCCTTGCTTGTAGAAGTGCTGACAGATTGCCATGGCAGATTGCTCGGTACCTTTGTTCTCATAAGCATGATTCCCAACTGAGATGTTGCGCAGCTGCAAGTACTTCAAGCAAAAAAAGAAACAGAAAATGGGAACACCAGCCAGGGTAGAAGTGAAGCCGTAATTTCCCTCCCCTCCCCGCCCCTGAAATGGGCAGGTCTTGCCCTCCCCCTGTATGGAGACACCCACTCTGATATGCACAGTGAGCGACTTGCTACTGTGCACCGTGAGGGCACATTCAAGTGGGAACACCCTATATACTTGATCATGTGTCAATGCAAGCACAATGAAACCTGTGAGAGCGAGAACTCGACAGAACTGTCTTGTTTTTTCCAAGTCTTGCAAGTTTTCTTCCTTTGACAGGGTGCAGTCTTACCACATTTTTATCGCTCTCTATTAGCTGAAAATACTTGCGTTTTCCCTCTCTAACAGGTTTCTGCCTTACAGAGGTTCCAGCTTTCGCAGGGTTTTACTGTCTATGAAATGTGTTGCTGTTAGTTGCCATTGAGCGAACTCTGACTCATGTGTGCAGAGTAGAACTGTGCTCCATAGGGTTTTCAAGGCTGTAACCCTTCAGAAACAGATCACCAGGACTGTCTTCCGAGGCTCCTCTGGGTGGGTTCAAATCACCAACCATTCAGCTAGTAGTCGACCACTTAACCATTTTTGTCACCCAGGAACTCCTATTATGAAACATATAACTAGATAAAACAATTTTTATCCAAACTAGAACCAAATTCAGCCTAGCCCACACTTAGAGCAAGTGCCTTCTCTGCAGAAGGCAGAGAGGACTGGTAACGAGAGTTCTGGGACCAAGTCTCATTTCTGTGACCCTGGGCAAGTCACAAACTCTGAACTTCAGGTTCTGTACCTGTAACATAAAGGGCTTAAACCACATAATCTCTGAGGTCCTTTCTTACTTCTAAATAATTTCAAATTATGTTTACCTTTGAACTATTTCTTGTAGGTCCTATTATCCAGAGTTCTGCTTTACTTTAATTACTGTAACATAAGAGGTGGGATACAATTGTTCCAAACTTACCAGCAAAACCCTAAAAAAAATTTTTTTAATTTACTCTTTACAAGAATACAGTTTAATCACTTTCGTAGTAACATTCCTCTGCCCTAGTGAGTCCTCTAAATAAAATAAAATATTACTTTTACACATGAGAATCTTATGGTATCTTAGAATAATTATCAATGTAAACTCTTAATGGATTTCTGTAGATGGAAACAAAGTGTTTCAGAGTTTACTGTAAACATTATGTTTTGGCACAATTGGTGATATAAAGATAAGGATATGATCCCTGTCCGGCTTGGAATTAACAATTTAGTGGGATGGACATAGAGCTAAATAATTCTACTAAAAGATGCATTGTAAAACATGCTATAATAGATGAAGGAATTTCCACCCTGGGCTATGGGATGGATTTTGAACTGGGCCTTGTCAAGGTTACCAATGAGCAACATGTTACCAAATCTGACAGTTCTCAGTCCTCATGTAACTTAACTTCTCTGTGGTATTTGATGCAATTGATCACTTTCTCCTACAATGGAATATATTCTTCATTTGCTTCTGGGACACAGGCTGCTCCTTCTCACTCTCCTTTGCTGAGACATTCTTCTCTTGCCAACCTCTACATTTTGGAATGCTCTTGGATTCAGTTCTCTACCTCTTTATTCATATTCTCTCCAGAGGTGACCTCAACCAGTACCACGACATTAAACACCATCTCTATACTGATGACTCTCAAATTTTTCTGTCCACCTCTGACCTCCACAAAATTCCATACCTGGGTAGCCATCTGCCTGCCTACATGATTCCTCTTCGGTGTTTAAAAGGAATCTCAAACTAAATGTGCAAACAGAAAAAAAATCATCTTCTTCCACAATAATCTCCCACTCAATAAACGGTTCAATAAAGTTATCAGGTGATCAGGCCCAAAACTTAGGAATGATCTTTGATATGTCTCCTCTCAGACTCCATTTCCAACCCACCAGAAAATCATGCATTTCTTTCCAATTATATCCTGAATCTGATTACCTCTCATCACCTTCCCTGCAAATCACCCTTGTCCAAACCACCATCATCTCTCACCTGCACAAATTAGGCCTCTTAGCTGGTCTTCGGGCATCCAAGCCTGCCTCTCACGACAGTCTAGTCTCCATATAGAAGCCACAGGGTTGTTATGAGGAGTAGGTGAATTAATGCGTGTAAAGCCCTTAGAACAGGGATGCTCAAAACATTAACCTGCTCAAGACTCTTGTTCTTGCTGTTCCTTCTCCCTGGAAGGCCCTTCCTTGAGATAGCCCCAGGCTGCCCACCCACATTTTCATCTGCTCTCGGCTCACATGTCACCTTATCAGAGAGGGCTTCCTGACAACTTCCAATCATTCACTCTGCTTGCTTTACCCCCCACTCCACCCCCCGCAGTACTTATAACAAACTGACAGATTATATACTTATTTACTACCTATGTCTTCCTATTGGAATATGACCTCCTTGAGGTCAGACACTTTTTCTACTTGTTCACTGCAATGTGCCTGCACCAAAACAGTACCTGATACATCCCAAACCCAAACCAAATGCTGTCAAGTCGATTCCAACTCATAGTGACTCCGTAGGGTTTCCAAGCCTGTAAATCTCTACAGAAGCAGACTGCCACATCTTTCTCCCACGGAGCCACTGGTGGTTTCGAACCACCGACCCTTCAGTTAGCAGTCAGTTGCTTTTAACCACTGCACCACCAGGGCTCCTTACCAGATACATAATAGTTACAAAGTAAATATCTGAATGAATACGTGTTATTAAAAAAACAGAACCAATTATAGTCAAGTCCATTCCAACTCATGGTGACCCCATGTGTATCAGAATAGAACTCTGCTGCATAGGATTTTCAGTGGATGATTTTTCAGAAGTAGATCACCAGGCCTTTCTTCCACAGTGCCTCTGGGTGGACTCAAATCTCCACGAGGTCACCATGAGTTGGAATCGACTCAACGGTAACCAGAATAAATGTTACTCTTTGCTAATGTATATTAGAGTCTCTCCTCTAATGAAAGCCTGCCAATGGCTTCCCATATTACTCAAAAGAAAATTCGAAGCTCCTTTTGATGGCCTAAAAAGTCCTGAGAGACCTGGCCTCTCCTCTCCTTTACATTCCAGTCACACTGGCCTCCCTCACAGTTTCTCAAACACACCAAACATTTTCCAGTCTCAGGGTCTATCCTGTTGCTACTCCTTCAGCCTGGAATATTCTTTCTCTCTCCCCAGACTTCAAGTCCTCAGAGAGGTCTTTCCTGGCAACCCTGAGGCTGCTGGTAATGTCTGATGCTGCTTGATTTTTTCTTTATAGCACTCATCACTATCCAAAAGCAAACCATTTTGATTAAATTTGTTTAAAATCCATCTCTCCCACTAGAATGTAATCTCCATAGGGAAAGGAACTGATCATGTCTACTGCTCTAACCCCCGTTCTTACAGCAATTTTTGGCACATAGTAGGAGCTCAAATATTTGTCAAATTAATTGGCGAGGTGAAAATTATAATGCAATAGTAGCTCTTCAGTTACTAGAGCTAACCCACAAACAGTGAGATTGTAAACTACCAGGATAAAATACATGGCTTTTTATTGGCATCAGGATTGGGAAAATGAGCCAGAAATCAATGCTAATAGATGTAAACTGCATAATTTGTTAAATAGAATTGTTGTTGTTGAGAGCTATTGAGTTGGTTCCAACTCAGAGTGACCCTATGTGACAGAGTAGAACTGATAGTTAAAACCCACTGGGTTTTCTTGGCTGCAACCTTTACAGAAGCAGATTGCCAGATCTTTCTTCCGCAGAACTGCTGGGTAGGTTCTAACTGTCAACCTTTTGATTAGCAGCCGAGTGCTTAACCATGGCCCCACCAGGGCTCCTTTAAATAGAATTATGTCCTATAATTTGCATGAGGGGAAGAGTATAGTGCTGGAGATAATAATTTTGAAATTTTTGTTTTCCATTCAAGGAAATAAGCATATTAAGTCTCTAAAGCTACTATGAGCAAAATTGGTAGTTTTATATTTGGGGGAGGGGGGTATAGGTGAAAGGTAAACAGTCCATTAAATGAAAAAGAAGGTAAAATATACAAGGTCTGATAAGGAGGTACCAAGTAGACCAGTGTACCTGGAACGTGGGGTGTGTAGGGAGATAAAGCTAGAGAGGTAACCAGAAGACATGAAGTACAGAGCCAGGCCCATGATGGGGCCCTGCAGCCCTTCTGAGTACCTTTACATGGGAGGTAATCCCCACAGCAAGTACCTAAAGATTTGAGCCTGCTGATCACAGAAATTTGCATGGCTTAAATCTTTCAAGATCTTGACATGCAAAAGATCTGAGACTCCGAGCTGCATGTATCTGCTAGTAGTATAAGCTATGGTTAGGCCACAGCCTTCCTTGCTGTCTTAACAAGGGTTTGCTTTTGGAGTTCTGAGCAGCTGGCCAGAGCTGGATAGTCTGGGGCAAGTGGCAGGGCTGTATTCAGCTAACGGACAGCTTTGGAGCCCATGCCAGAGGATTCTGGGACAAGGTTGTGGTGTGGGACTATGGTTGGAAGGTGGCTGACTTGGGGGATTGGTGGGGGAGACAGGACAGGAGCACTTAAGTGGCTCTGCCTCTGTGGCGTTTTAATGAGTCCCTCTTGCCTCTGCAGCTCCACTTTGAGAGGAGAGTTTCTCATGCAGACTCATGGGTTCCAGGTCATTCTTTGGGTGACAATATAAAAAATACATTAAAGGTCTTTACCTACGTGATGTGGCCCAAAAGTAAAGCAGATTAAAACCGATCATTCCTTGGTTACAAATTGCCTGTTTATGGTCCTTCTATGAATACCTAATCCTAACAAAATAATGAGCCCTTTGAGCTCATTAAACCATTCACAAACATCTTAGTCCCATTATGTACCTCTGCCTTTGCAGAGTAAATACATCACATGCTGTGATGTTGAACACTGTGTGTTTGTGTATACCAGCCAGGAGGAGCATCATTCCATCAGATCTGTGATTTTAGGTGAATTATTTAGGAAATAGCCAAGGGGTGGTTGGATAGGTGGATGGGGAAGAAGGGAAGCCAGCTAGAAGCTGGAATTTATAGACTATGTTGGAGGTGCTAGAGCAAATGATTCAAAGAATACCAGGAGGCTTCTAAACCTAAGCATCTGACCAGAAAGAGAAACAGGAGAAACAGGTCTGGGGAGCAGGTGGAAGAGAGCACGAGTCTGCTTTGGGCAGGCTGGCTTGAGGGGCTTGTGAGGTGTCTAGCAGGCAGCAGAGAGAGCAACAGTTTGGGAGACACCTAATGCTGGTGATGGAAAAGCCTGTGTGGTGGATGAAATTTCTGCAGGAAAAGGACAAACCTTTGAGGACTGCCCAAATCTGAAGAGTAGATTAAAGGAAAAGAGTGAGTAAAGGTGACCCAAAAATGATTGAAGAAATAGAGGAAAGCCAGGCTATAGTACAAAAACCAAACAACTAGGCTTTTGACATTCAGTTACATAAGCACATATAATAAACAAAAAATGATGCTGTTGGTAGACAGGTCTATACTCAAAAGAACTGAAAGCAGGAATGCAGACAAAAACATTACATCAGTGTTCACTGCAGCACCATACACAACAGTCAAAAGGCAGAAACAACCGAAATGTCCATCAACAGAGGAATGATAAACAAAATGTGGTCCATACATACGACGGAATATTACTCAGCCATAAAGAGAAACGAAGTCCTGATACGTGCTACAACATAGATGAACCTTAAATACATCATGCTGAGTGAAATAAGTCAGACAGAGAAGGACAAACACTGTATGATCCCACTTACATGAAACAGGCAAATGTGTAGAGACTGAAGCTTATTAGTGGTTATTAGAAGTAGAAGGGAAGGGGAAAGAGGGAACCATTGCTTAGGGGCACTGAATTTCTGTTAATGGTTGTGGCCTGCTTTGGAAAAGGATAGTGGTAATGGTTGCACAACACAACATGATGAATAGAATCAATGTCACTGAATTATACATATAAAAATTGTTAAACTGCCAAATATTTTGTTATATATATTTTTACCACAATTTAAAAAAAAGTGATGCTGTTATAATCACAATATCGGATCAGGATGAGTTCTGGAGATTATCCAGTTAGATGACATCTTGGGGTTAAACCCTTCGGGATAACTAGTTAGTTGTCCAAATACCTCTAAGGGCTGAGGCGTCACTGCTCTACACGTTAGTTCCCTTCGGTGACTATCACCTCAACTATCAAAATATTTCCTTATAGCCAGCAAAGATCCTTCCTGCTTTATTATAAGTCCATGCTTTGCCTGTTCAGTTCTCTAAAAGCATGTAGAATAACTGATTTCATTGACCACAAAACCCTGCTTACTCATGAAAATTGTGATACAGATATTTTTTATCTTCAGCTAACAGTGCCTGATAGTGCTTGGAAGACAGAGGGGAATCACCGCCCAAGGTAAACCGCCCCAATTAGTATTATCTATTTATATACTAGGATAAGGAAATGGCATACATTTCATAAAGAACACAGAAATCTGACAAACACCATGGCCTGAATGCCAAAAACTATATTTTGAAGACTGGCTTTAGGCCTAATAATAAAAGTAAAGATATGTAAGGAACTTAATGGACTGTTTACTTCTTACCTTAACCGCCGCCCCCCTCCTTAATAAAAACAAAACAAAACAAACCAAAAAAACAAACCCTACTAATTTGGTTCAGAGAAACTTTAGAGAAATTGAACAGGCTTAAAGCAGAGGTTTGGAATCTTGAGAAAGTACGGTTTGTAAGAAAAAGCTGATTAAAACTTCAGAATAGGAATTTGACTTACCTGTATGGAAACCAATCTCACTTTTTTTGGCAGTTAGTCAATGTTACAATAAAATCATTGTCAGGTATGACATAAAGGCCTTACTTAGTTTTAAAATGAGTTTTCAGGTCTTGGTTGCTATATACACTCCACAAAGTTAATACTCTCATTACTTGTTAAAGCCCCTGAAAGAAACTTAATGACTACTTACAATCAGGGTCATGGTTAGTGATTTTAAATCTTTCAGGCTCCTCTGCCAACCCCTAGCTCTGATCCTTTTAATTAAAGTCTTCAAAGTTTCTGTCTCCAAAGCTTTTCTCAGTTTCTAGTTTTGTGCAAGCTTGCTGTCAATACTTTAAAAATACATTTTTAATGGTTTTATATAAAAGTCATTTGAACATCAGTTACTATTATGCACCTTGCTTATTTTATGACCTTGCTATGTACTATTATGTACCTTGCATTTTCCCTGTCTGTTCCGTCTTCAAAGTAAAGAATGCACACTCCTGATTTACCTGATTCACTGCAAAGATGATCTGGTCGTACACATCTCTTTGTGTGTATACTGCGTAAGTGTCGTCTATTCGGTCCATATATCCTTTTAGAAAGAGGTGTTTGAATGCTATAGTGTTCTCTTCCTTGAAAGCTACCACCATCTGGTTACTTAGCCCAAATAAGACCAGCTTAAAAGAAAAAAAAGGAAAAATAAGAGGGTGAAAAAGCAGTGAAGCAAAAGGTCTCCATAAATGATAACCAATTTATCTATTTAAGATTCAATGTGTAATTAATCCTGAGTACATTTAGTACAAATTAAACTTTTGGCAGCTATGAAATCATATGTCCTTAAAGATAAGGTAGGCTTCTAGTATTAAACTTTTAAAAAATAACTGCACATTTTCAACATTTACTTTAATGTATCATTTCATGTAAGACATAGCCCCTACCTTCAAAAGTGCATCATTTAGTTGTTTAGGGGTTCAGAAAAGCAAGATCACTTTAGCTAAATAGATGGGAAGAGTTCCTTAAGGAAAGAAGAAGATATAAACCCTGAAGTATGTCTACAAACAGGAGACATTTAAGGAACACTGGGGAAAGGCTAAGAGGGAAAAGTGGAATTTAGCACTTTGGGAGAACACTGAGGATACCAGCAAAATTTAATTAGAAAAACAGTAAAAAAATTAAAAAAATAAAAATATGAGCAGAAAAAGTGGAAGCAGATGGTGCAGGGGCTTAGATGGCAAGGAGAAGAGCTTAGCAGGAGGATATCAAGAAAGGTTTTGAAGTAGGTGGGTAATACACTGTAAGAAATATCATCAGTAAGTCCAAGTCCTATGATCAAACTACATTCCTAGGTTTAATTACCAAAACTGACAATAAGGCCAAAATAGCAAATACCCTTTCAACTAATTTCTGAACTCAAATATATTAACATAATGTATCCTTAATATTCATGCAGGATTGACTCCAGAGTTTTATGTGAAATTCGGTCATTCACACACAAAAATGTTTAACCTCACTGCTGTCATACTAACATAAGCCATTTCAATCATACCCAAAGTTATTTTACTCCAAGTTTCTCACCTTCTCTTCTCTCCCAAACTCTCTCTCTCTCACTCTCTCTCTTTCTCTCTCTCTCTCTCACACAAACACTGTAAGCTTAGAAAGTACATTCTAACTTATATCCCAGAGTGAGGCAAGGTGTATTTGATATAGAAAGGGAGTACAATATACTATACCAGGAACTTTCCTCATAATAATATACCCATTTTACAGGTGAGTACACAAAGCTTCACAGAAGTTAAACAATTTTTTTAAGTCACATCACCAGAAATTACATAGTCAAAATTTGAACTTAAGTCTGAGAGACTAAATCCAAGCCTCTATTCACCCCATCATGTGACACAAAGTGATCCAGCCAGGGCCTGCTCAGGAAAAACATAAGAGAGTAGACAAATCTTACCCCCTCATGATAAAGGGCCTATACCCCACACATGGCCATCGTCTCTACCTATCTCTGAAGAGCCTCTTTAAGCTAAGTGTCCTCATTTAAATCCCAATAAAATGATAGCTTGATATTCCAGAGATTTTATATCAATTGAAGCCAATGACCAAACAGCCTTCAAGGAATTTCCAAAGATGTTCTTACCAGTGCATTCAAATATATGAGTACCTTCCACATGCCAGGCACTGAGCTAGGTGCTGAGGACACAGCAAGAAGCAATGGTCTCTGCCCTCAAGTGCCTAGTGGGGGACAGGAGTAACGCTGGCAGAGGGAAAACTATTGTAATTCAGAGACTGAGCCAGGAAAAGGGAGCCCATTACTGGGGACATCTTCCATTTGCTGTTGTGGACACAAAAATCTCCAACTAAACAGAAAAACCACCTTCTTTTCCCTCAAAAGAGGGAACCTGTCACAACATCGTCACCCTCATTTGCTCCATTATAAAGTTGCCTTTATGTAATATTTGTTTGACCATTCACATCTGCATGACGGAAACATCACAATTAAGAAATTCTCAGCTGCTTTAAAAAACTTACCTAAATGTCTTTTACATGCTTATTACTAACAGGCGAAACACCTTAAGCCATTAGCCAGTTTTCCTCTTGACCACGCTGTTGTTGTTAGGAGCCGTAGAGTCTGTTCTGACTCCTAGTGACCTTACAGGACAGAGTAGAACTGTACCATAGGGTTTCCAAGGAGCAGCTGGTAGATTTGAACTGCCAACCTTTTGGTTAACAGCCAAGCTCTTAACCACTACACCACCAGAGCTCTTTGATCATGCTAAGAAACACAATTTTACCTCCCTAAAAGATTAAGCATGATTAAGAGCATGTGTTTTGGAGGGTCTGAATCTCAGTTCTACTCTTCTAGTTTCCTGACTATGATGGGTTATTTTACCTCTGTGTTGCCATCTGGAAAATGGGAATACCACTACCTACCTAAGATTTGCTTTTTAAACTGAACATGATGGTGCCTGAAAAATGTTTAGCCCAGTACACAGCAAATACTCAAATGGTATCTATTGCTATTGAAGTCAAAAATGTTCGTGTTCAACCGACGCAGGTTTTTACTCCTTACGAGAAATAAGAGAGAAACTTTTCATTATATATGAGAGATATTTTAGTTCAAAGGGAAAATTGTGAATATCATTTCCTTGACTTCTCTAAACATCTTTTTGTGAAACTATATTTTGTGATTATGTCTTAGTTATCCAGTGCTGCTATGACAGAAATACCACAAGTGGATGGCTTTAACAAACAAATTTATTCTCTCACAGTCTAGTAGATTATAAGTTCAAATTCAGGGCATCAGCTCCAGGGGAAGGCTTTCTCTCTCTGTTGGCTCTGGATGAAGGTCCTTGTCATCAATCTTCCCCTGGTCGAGGAGTTTCTTAGCGCAGGGACCACGGGTCCAAAGGATGTGTTCTGCTCCCGGTGCTTCTTTCTTGGTGGTATGAGGTCCCCTGCTCTCTGCTCTCTTCCCTTCCCTTTTATCTCTTATAAGATAAAAGGTGGTGCAGGCCATACCCCAGGGAAACACACTTTACATTGAATCAGGGATGTGACCTGAACAAGGGTGTTACATCCCACCCTAATCCTCTTTAACATAATCTATCTTGCCTCATTAACCACAGGCAGAGATTAGGATTTACAACACATAGGAAAATTATATCAATCACAAAATGGAGGACAACCACACAATACTGGGAACTATGGCCTAACCAAGTTGACACATATTTTGGGGGGACATAATTCAATCCTTGACAGATTATTATATACACTGGTGTATACATATATACATACATATATATATATATATATACACATACATATATATAAAACAGGGAAAATATTGACATTGTTA